CATCTGGGTTATACTTTGTCATCTTCAGCACCATACGTCACACGCTTTCCAATAATCAAATTTTTTTGGTGTTCAAACAGCGAGAGGCGAAAAATGACTAGAGAAACCAACTGCGTTTCAAGCGATGGATACATATTTCATTACCGTAACGAACACCGTGAGAATTTTCCATTTTACTCAACCATGGCCTTCTCATTTACCGCAATACTGCATTGCAGAGTTGCTGTGAAAAGTAGCACAAAGTACTTTTGTTGCCATGGTGATTAGGTCTGAACTTGTAAGAATTTTTCCTAATACAACAATCTAGCGTATAATGAAAATCAGAGGCTAAGATGGCTTTTTATGACCGTGAGGCAAATTCGAGCAAGAACCACTGCGAATTGTTGTATTTTCATTTTCAAGAAATCTTGAAGAAATTATACTGCTTGAAAATGAGTATGACAAGGCATCATGGAAATGAAAGAATCAACATTTGTCCAGCCAAACGCCTTGCTAAAAATGGAGAGCTCTGTGGAAACCGCGATGCACCATTAATTAATCAATAAACTGACAAGATAAAACAGTTACAAAATTCATCCTAAAACATCGGCATAATTATATCATATGATTGTATAATACAATAATTCTTGATTGAATATTTTCAGTCATAAAGGACAATGGTGCATCCTGACAGGTTTGCCTGTTTCAAATGCACTACCATTTGAATTTTCAGAATGGTACAAGGCGCCGATGTCTTTGCCAAATCTCGCTCATTCTGAACAACCATTTAATTAGTTGTGAGAACAGCCACATGTTTTTTGACACACTGATCCAACCTCGAAGCTGTTTGAAAAACAGATGAAAATCTCCCAAATTCAACAGTTACTATTAGTTGGCTGTAGATTTTCTCAACCCATCGTTGGTAGCACGAGAAACAAGAAAATAATTTTATTCACAATAACTACAAAGTTTTGATCGAACTGGCGTCAGTCATCATCCGGCATTGAACGAAGCAGCAACAGAACTGCGGGTCAATTGGTTCTTCACCGGATTGGTTGGACGCTAGCCCGGTTGCCAATTAAGCTGCGAATAATGTTCCAC